AAAAGTCCAAACACAAGAAGCCAAAAATGCATTCGAAGAACATACAATTTATTATAAAATCCAAGTGGCAAAAAATACTATTCGGCAGCCGAATAAATCATGATCCGAATGCGAAGAACATTATTAAAGAGCATTTTGAATTAAAATAATGAGCATTTTATCAGTGGCATTCCTGTCGTCTTTCATTCGCTGTAGCCCGAGGCGATGTGTTCTTGGGCTCGATTTACGACGGACCGACTGTCACTGGAACTGACTGTAACATTTACAGGCGCACGACCATGGCGGGGCCCCATGGCCTCGCTGCACCGCCTGAAATCCAGCCGACGTCGACTTCCGCTGCCGCGTCGCTGTCACTGTCGTCGTCGCCGGTTTCATTACCGTTCAGGAATACTCAGCTCTTTCAGCTCGTCATGAAGGTCAGACTATTCACTGCTTAGTTGTTACAGTTCGTCGTAGTTTTGCGACAATCGTATCACAGTAAGCACAGAGAAGTCCAAGGCAAAGTAGCCAGTGCGGGAACCTCGTGATCCATTATTAGCATTGCCTGAAGGGATCATGAGGTGCAAATTGTAGTTTCACTTGCGACGATAAACTGGAAAGATAAAAATTCCGCGGAGGCAATCGGATCGTTTTTCTAAATGCGCCACGCATCCAGTTTCTGAGCGTTTGTTCGCGATTTGGTCCACGAGTTGTCTTCGGGACACTGGTAACAACTGATGGTTAGCCTACAAGGATGGAAGCCTCAGAAGTCTCAGGGGAAAATAGATTCGAGTTATGACCATAGAGCCGTGCACGCGGCCCCATTTGCCAACACACCCCTCCACCTTCGAGACAAAGTCAGGGGCAGGAACTCGGGATTCAAATGTTGGGGCCAGAGTTACGATTTCGTATAGAAAGTTCTCCCAATTGCTGTGGTATACCGAGAATTACCTGTTTCGAAATGTTTTTCTCCACCACGAGGTCACATTCGTTACGACCTTGATGGCGAAACTCTTTACGTCTCCTCGGGAAACTCCTGTGTGGGGAATCTTGATTTATCGTGCAAATTTAAAGGGATATATAGTAGGCCGCAAATTCGCTATCGGAATGGTCGCATATTCTTTTCTTTTGCTGCGGGGTTCCCTTTACAGTTCTTATTCCTTAGCATGGAAAAGCGGACTTCTTGTGAATGATCCGCACTCCTCTTTCACTAACGGAACTGCTGCAACTTTCCCTAACCGGTCCGACACAATTTGTGAGCTTTTCGAATGGCATTTTCCTGCAGTGGCTCAAAGACACGCTCCACGATTAGGTGCGCCCACCTGTTCCATCCCGGGGGCGTAGTAGACGGGCATGCAAGCGTTGATGTGACGCCCCTTGCTGTTTGAAAGTGGGCGACATAGGCGTGGCGAACCAGAACCCGCACCACTTTTCAGCGAAGTCCCCGCCTTCGATGTTGGTTTTCACGTGCACTTGAGGCAGCGGTTGCATTGCGGCCCAATGTCATTGGCACTGGAGCAACGGGAGCTGGGTTCGTGGAACTCGTCCAACATGCCCCTTCTTTATCCCAAGGTGAATTGCGACTACAAGAGAGGAGGTCCTATTCAGGACGTGATCGGGGTTTCCTTTGCTTTCTTTTCATTTCAGCCACTTCCCTGAGATTCATAATGTGAACGCTTCTCTTACACTCATTTTATCCAGCTTACCTTATAACTTTCACTTAGTTCCGTCCCAAGGAACACGGTTTCCATAGGGAATCTATGAGGTCGCCACCGATAAGAGTAAGGTTATGATATTTTCAGTGCATGTCTTACATCGCAGACAATGCAAACGTCGCAGATTGGTACGGTAGACGTGTCGGGACTTCCCGTACGGCGATGAATCTCGTATGGTGGCCATCATTGTCTTCGGAGCCGTCTTCGCCATCGTGACTTTCGTCGGAAATCTCATGGTTCGTTTGATTCACCGTCTCTAGAAAGTCCTTTTTAGAGGTGCAACTATGCGCAGGTGCAGGTGCTAAGTAAGTAGATAGAGAACTAAGTCTACCTAGAACGCGCACACTTATTCCTAATTGTCTCTGAAAGGTAGTGAAGACGGCGGCTGAAGCGCAAGTGCGATTGGAGACGATCATTGTATGCGACGTCATTCGCGTGGAGCTAGACTTACTAAACGAGCTGTGTCGTGCTGGTTGGACAACAACCCCACCTCTCCTCACTTCAATGACGTTCCAAGACATCCCGCCCTCCGCCATTCGGGTGTCATTGGTTCACATGAAGTTCTTGCAGAAGTTAGCTGTATGTCAGAAGATTTCCCTACTGATGTGGATCTCAGATGTACTCGTTTTTGCTCTTTTATGTAACTATTTACATATTCATATGACTATTCTTATATGATCCATATTTTTCCTCATTCAGGCAAGTAACGATTGATGAAGCTCCATTTCTAGTAAGAGGTTTCCCATCCCAACGATTATTCAACATTAACTTTTCTTTGAAATGAATGAATTATTTGAATTTTCTCTGAATCAACTTTATTTCTGCCCCCAGGATCACATGGTGTGGCTCTTGTACACGAATGCGAATGTATTGGTGGGAAGTGGGCCGGCAGTAAAGAAAAAAGGAAAAGAATCCGTCAAAAACGCTTAGGTTAAGGGCTCACTCACCTTCCTAATCGGCTGTGCTAAGGGAATGAGAGACTAAGCGCGGAGAGGAGAGTATGGGGCGAGAGAGCGCTAGATGAGAGAGATCGCCAGACAGACAACAGCCTGATAAGAGAAAAAGCTGCAGCTTAGGCAGCTTGCTTTGCAAGGCCCACGAGCGCTTCATTACGAGATCGCGTTTCCGTGCACAGAAAGGCAATGTGTGATGTCTCAGAGGATGTCTATACAACAGGACAGTAAGGACGAACGCGTTCACACGACCCTGCCTGGTTGTGCGTAAGTTTGAAGTAAAGATCCGCTTTGAGAGCAAGTTGACTTATATGAAGTATTGCCTAAAGCTCTTGGAACACCGACAATGCCCAAACATTCGTCGTTTTTCTCTGTTCGCACGGTGAGCGTTTTTTGTATCACTGGAATTCGCCTGCTCTGCTGCGTTCCCAAAATAAACATTGCACATTTTAGGAGCATATTTTACCACAAAGGCTGCTGACTCCTCTTTCTTAGGTTCGCACAGCTAGAAAGTTATCCCTCCTCGCCGTTTGCAATGTTATGGACAAACATTAAAATCAAAAAATGCGCAAAATTTTGTCTGACCGAGGTGCGAGATCGCTAAACGAGACTGTATGGGTCGGCGGGTGTCATAGAAAAACCGCTTACACATTTGAATTGCTATCCTCCGTCACCAATTACTACCTGGAGTCAGCAGCACTGCCTTCACAGCAAAGGAATTGTAATGTGGAAGAAGAAGAAAAAGCCGCTTCTGATGCTCCCTGTATTCAGCGCTGTCTGTCACCCGTACGGATTCTCTTTCTCTGCATGTGCCATGTCCCTTCCGCTCGAGCGAGTGGCCAATCTTTTCGGGTTTCTGATTTCGTCACAACTCTGTGTTACCCTCCGGAATGAACGAAAGCGGTGTAAGTGAGCGCCATCCAGACATAGCATTTTACAGCAGAACACAGGAAGTGTTCCCGCGGTACTGCAAATGGAAGTCCTTAAGTTTTCTCAGTCCACTAACGACAACGGAGGGTTGGCAGAGCTTCTTTTCAACTTATTGCAAACCTCGAGATAGAATAGTTATGCCCCCTTACTTGGAACCAAAAAACTCTGAAAGGCTTTATTCTTCGGTTGCTGTTGAGAATTCAAACGCTGTGCAGGCGGCATAGATCCTCAAAAATGACACTGGAAGCAGTACTGTGGCTCAGCAAACAGAAGCTGTTGCCACACTGCGTCGTCGTAATATTCCGGGAAAAAATTTTAATTGATCCTATTCTCTAGGCTCTTAAAAATCGCCTCTAAAAACTTGAAAAGCTCTACAAAAAAAGAAATATTCTCGTAATCTGAATTACAAGACAGCTAAAATGATGCGAAGATGTATTATTTAAGGTGATGGTGAGCTTCAAAATCGACAAGCAGCTTCAAACAATCAGCAACTACTTTCTGTTCAGTCTCGCTGTTGCCGATATTGCTATAGGTTCGTTGTTCGTGTTCAAGCCCATTCTTTGGTGGTCAAAATTACCCGACCACTTGGACAGTTGGGCCACTTTTTTTCTGAGACTCTTTCTCGAAACCCTTGGTTCAGGAATGATTTCAATACCGAGCTGACGTACTACACAGCTATGCAAACGTGGGGCATCGGCTACACGATGTGCCAATTTTGGCTGTGTGTTGACTACCTCATGAGCAACGCTTCGGTGCTCAATCTCCTTCTAATCTCGTTCGATCGGTACTTTTCCGTCACACGACCTCTCTCCTACAGACCAAGGTGAGCCGCAACCCTCAGACAAGTTTCAGCAAACAAAATGAAGTTGATTGGAATGATTTCCTTTGAAGGAGGACAACACGGAAAGCCCTGATCATGATTGCCTGTACCTATATCATTTCTGTGATTCTTTGGCCACCGTGGATTATTAGTTGGCCTTATATTGAGGGTGAGTCATATCTTTATTTGGGCGAGCAGGCGGTACGACAAGAATAGTACGTGTGAGAATGTGTGGTTTGCAAGATAAATGATCATAAAAAACAATGTTGCCCGAAAGGACCCAAATCAACACCACGGAATATGTGGAGGGTTAGTCGAACAGGAATTCTATTCCTTCTTAGACGCTTTCTGCATTGATACGTAAACGGACTTTTCTGAAAACACCAACCACTTTATAGTATTTGAGCTGGTAGAACTATGTCGCCACTTCGCCAAGAGGAATGCCGTGATCTTCTGTTGACAATAGTTTTTAGACAATTTTCGCCTTGCGGTTGAGCGCTCAATCTGTTCCAATACCCTGTGTTTTCTACTGAAGGCCCTCTTGACCTGAGGCATCAACCAGTCCAAGAAAATTGCAGATGATTCTTACTGTATGGGTTGATATCTGGAGCTCTAGGTGTCTTAAACTCTTTTTACTGATTTCTGCGAAAGGCCTCACTGAATGACTAAGTTAGGACTTGTCACGAGCGTGTCCGAGGTAGTACTTATCATAGCCAAGACCCAAGAACTTAGAATTCTTGCTCCAGTTTGAAACTGTGCGACAAAGGGAACCCGTGAGAATCTGACGAAACTTCGTAAACAATCTTCTTGCTAAGCGTTTTAATAGTGTATCGGGTAGGAAGTTTTGACAGTTCCCTTTTATCACGTGCTCTTGTATGTGTGTAACAATACGTGGATAAGGAAGTGTAAGCCGATAACGAATTCGGCGGCAAACGAACGGACTTAACGTGACTGGATCGAACGACGTTCGCCCTCGGGTGCAGCCGCGCGGCTAGCATAATTAGCGGATTCGAGGGAACTCTCCCAGTCAAGCCAACCTTACAAATTAGAATAACCTGCAAGGCTAAGGAGTATTTGCTATTTCTCTCAACGGTTTTCTTCGTTTTACATTCAGCTACAAGTAGGCTCAACACCTTACAGGTCGTATTTGAGAAAGAGATCTAACAATAACTTTCTAAACGCGAGTCTTTGCCTTTTAAGCATGAAGGACAATCGGCGCTATCGCAAGAAACGGAGGCAAAATTGTGTGCATTTAAAATCACGTAAAACATGTCCTTTTTGGTGAAAACCAAAAAACTTTTTGTTAAAAGTGAGCTCAGGCGGGGACGAGAGTGCGTCAGCCATTTTCATTCTCCCCGGAATTCTTGCCCCCTCCCAGGCCTAGTCCTAAAGGCTACCCCGTACATTGCGATAGCACCGGACGATTGCTAGGTGGTTTGTTCTTCGGTGCTCGTGAATTACAGTTCCTTGGAAAAAGTGGAAAAACACCCGTACACAAAGTCTTTAGCAATAGGCTATTAGTGTTCACCGCTTAGAGGGCATTAGAAAATTCGAGTGCCGGAATCTCACATGGGTGAGGAAGCTTTTTCACGCCTCTAAAAATCAGTGAAGGATCGAGGATAATCAAGCGTGCGACAGTGATCGATAGCTGCACTGACGAACGGCGATGAGCGGTGTGATAGTGAGTAAGGATAAGAGGAAAAAGTACAAAGCCATGTGCTTGTGAAGACTGAAAGTGTGATTGATGGGATGGTCGAGTGTGGGAAATGACAGATTGCTGGGAATTCATAGGGCAATGTGTATCGATGGCCGGAAATGAAGAAGAAATCGTTGCAGAAAGTCGTCAACTGCCGGGAAAGAAAAGATTCATATGGCGGTCCTTTTTCGATTGTAATGATCTATTCCATTCAGGAAAGTTCACGGTGGAGCCAGGAACATGTGTGGTGCAGTTTCTGGAGACGAATCCTTACGTCACTGTTGGTACCGCAGTCGCCGCCTTCTACCTGCCAGTGACGATCTTGATCGTGCTCTATTCACGAGTCTACTGGGAAACTAGGAAACGACGACGTGATTTTGGAAAACTGCAAGCATCACAGGTACATCTCCGGAACTGCCGCTTGGGACTCTTTCATATGGGACCGCATTCGTAGTGTGATAAGCAATCCTGTCTGGGCTTGCGTGTTTCCCACAACTGCTCAGGTGTGGCGCAAGCCGTCCTCATACCTTCTGCGGCGTAGCTTTCGTTTTACTCCCTTCCATAAGAGTTCAAGACTTATGACGTCGTTTAGCACCCGACTGTGACGAACGATTCAGTTCGTACTCACAGATCAGTTTCGCAAAAGATCAGAAAGAAGGTAACCACCATGCATGGCTCCCACTTCTTTCGGTCATGCTCCCTCTCCTCTATTGCCACATCATCCCATTCACTTAACCGAGTTACTGTTTCAGTTCCCTCGGCGATCAATGCGACGAGACACCTCGACGAATTCTTTTGCGAAGAACAACGAGCGTGGATCATTGAAGAAAGGCGCATGGAGCGTGAACGATTCCAAAAGGTTCGTCCGCACTGTTTAGTTATCGCCGCCTCACTATGAAAGCTATGGAACCTGCCAGAACAAAGGCACTATGTGAGGAATCTTATGGGTTTTTGCATTTTCACTATCACTTTTCACTTATTTCCGCTCTCAGTGCTCTCCTCCGTATGTCACAGCTACCGTGGGCCAGGGCGCGTAACTCAACGAAGTTATACGATTTATACGAGGGGTGCTACTTTTTCGCCAGCTAAATCAAGCAATTCTTGGTTGCAAGCTAAGATATTAAAGCCGGGTTTTCATGATGAAAAGATAGCATATTGGAAATAAGGGTAGAGGTGGTCAGTGGAGCAGGGCATTTGAAGGCGAAACAATGAAAGCCAAAAGGACCTTCCCTGTACCGTTGACTTCCTCATTGATGCGATCTGGTTCATCGTTTTCGTGCGCTGCTCATTTGACGCAACGCGACATCTAAGCGGGTTCAGCTATCTGCTACTATGTGAAACCTGCGCCTCCTCCCATCTAGCCACGAATTAAGTTGCTACGTGTATTCCCGATGACTCTTAGGTCTGCCAGCTTAAAGGATCTCCAACTCCGTGGGAAGTATGCCATTTCCAAGCATTGGTGTTGCGTGGTTTTTCAACTGAAATTGACTGGGAAGTTTTTTATTTTCTGAAAAGGAATCGTTCTACCTCATTTTCATCGACTCTCTTGACTAAAGCCACATCCCATGCGTCGAGAATGGGTTTATCACTCGTGCGTATAGCACATGCGGTAATGACGAAATATTCGAGGGGTTCACAGCCGCATGAGGAGAGGAATTCGCGCTCTCTCTCGCGTGCGCAATTGTTACTTGGAGCAGTGTGCAATTACCTTATGCGGGATTCGGGTAGTGTACCGCACCCTTGCATGTGTGCTTACTCGGTCGCCTCTCTTTCCACTGGTGTTCCAATACTTATCTCTCAACGACATAGTATTGCTTTGTTCGTGGTGTCATCTCCCACTCACTATCATCTCACTTCACTCTGACGATCTTAGTGCCAGCTCAGCTATAATGGAGGACATCTTGCTTGAAGCGCGGTTTACGCGGCAGTGCGCAACGTCGCTGCTCTGTCAGGTGAGCGGTGCCTAGGTCACTCTCGACGAATCAAGTGATTTAGAGTATAATAAATGCTGCAAGAAGGAATGGCCCACAAAAGGAAGTTTCAAGGATGCGTAGAAGCTACCCGCGGGAAAAGTAATAGAATTCCGGTCAGCATAAAACGGCATTATCTCCTGGTCGGTATTTCATTCTGCTCGGTGCTATCCTCTTCAACACTAACGCTCTCTCTCTCTCTCTACTAAACGGGTAGATTCAGACAGCAGGAGGGAGACGTGCTGCGCTGATAGCCGTGCCATTAGGGCCCATGCTAGATCGCCGGGGGCATATCTTTCGATGCGAATTGCGTGTCAGTCCGCACCCTTAGGAGGTCCACCTGTCTCTCCACTAGGTAAGTTTCCCCTTCTTCGACCTTCGTTCTTGTCGTGGAATCCTCCCTTGATGAGAAACGACCGCCTTCCTAGCGACATACAAACGCACCTGCAAAGCGACCATTAATTATTAGATCGTAAATAATTACAGCTCGAATCGAACTAGGAATCGAGTCAACTGGCTGAAGATGTGCAGCACTCGGTCGCACTCTTCATCCGAGGACAGCTCTGAGGTTTTGTGTGCTGCGTGCACCCTACTTGCATCTTGTCCATAATTCCTTCGCAGATTCAGGCTCAAGTGATGAACATCGACGACACGTCTCTGTCTTCATCTCTGTACACTGCCAAGAGAAAAAACACCAGTCCACCGCTCAGTCCCCTGCCAGCTAACGATGTATGTTCTCAAGCTTCTGGTGGTAGATAACAAAAAGCTTCCTCTCTTCCAGGAAACGGTTTCCGGTGAAACACAAACCGAGAACAGTCCACGCAGTGGTTCGATGCGGTTCCGCACAAGACCCACTGATAGGCCTACCTTTGATACTTATACGGTACGTTTGCTTTTTCTGGGGACAATTATTTGAATTTGTGAACTGCAGTGAAGCTCTTTGGGAAGCATCACGCATTAGATTTCCCCTCCACGCTTGACGTTTACTTGTATTATATCAAATTACTGGAGA